CGTCAATACCAACCGAGCTAAGCTCGGTTGGTACTTTGACTACAGTACACCTACCGTAATCCTACAATGGGCCCCCACCCGTCAAACTGAATAATGTCCGCGTAATCAGCACTCCAAGTAAGTCAACCTGACAAGCTTCGGCAAAATCCGAGAGTTCAAAATATTAGCGGCAAGAATCCCAATTGTATCGATCGATGACGTCATACAGTTATACTCAAGGCAGCATAGACACTAATTTTTGACCCAAAACGTCAAAACTTCAGATATCATTGAAACTTCGCCTATTGGGTTTACTTATCATACTGATCACTAATATCGTATCCTTCACTCCATAGGGCCTTACTGAGGGGTTACGGTAAGTGCATGATCGGGAATCAAAATCACGGATTCGCCTGAAAATTGGTCTACTGTGGTTATTTGATGTACTGAATACAAATGACGTATCTGTACTGCACAGTAACGCCTTATTGTGGGGATACGACAGGTATACAGCCTGAAGTCAGACTATAGATTCGTATAGATTTGCCTGAAAAAGAAGTTTACTACGCTATTTAGAAAATTTGCATCAGCAACTTTTAAGTCTCATTTTTAAGAGAACTTTCATGACGCGCTTCCATGTAGTTTAGTTAGAAACCCACGAAAAAGTGCCTCTGACCGTAAAGGAAAGGGTCGTCCTCTGTAAGCTGAAGAAAAAAGGTTTTAAGCTAGCCTAAGAAGAATTTGCATTGTAAGAGGATTGTTTTACAAGCCGTATCTCTACATTAAGCACCACTGTGATAAACAATATTCTTCGTGATTAGCGTATCTATTCACCCAAGTAGGCGAAGGTTTGGACGAATCCGCGAATGACCTCCCGTCGTATAGCTACCGTACCTTTACGATAAGAAGTGTTTGTGACAAATGGATAGCTTTTTCATGATCAGCGTTTGAAATAATCAACCTAGGCGAAAAAAACAGACGAAGTAGCGATGGTGACTATCTTTACAGTAAGTCGCTACTGTAAGAAGTGGATGGCTTCTTCATGATCAGCGTACCAGATAACCCTCCTAGGCGAAGTTTAGACAGATTCGCGATGTTGACCTCCTACCGTACGCCTACTGTATACCAAAGATGTTACTGTAGTGCGACATACTGGAAGTTTTTTCGCAGCTGAGTTTAGCGCCGCTTTT